TTTCATGCTCTTTTAATTGGAAATAAGTATTTTAAAAAAAAAAATTTTTTACCTAAAAAAATCAAAATTAAAAATAAAATTTTAATTTTTGGGGGGAAGGATACGATTTTTTTTTAACAAAAGCTGAGGTTTTTTACTAAAAGGACATATATATATATATATATATATATATATATATATATGCAAAAGTAGGCCTAGAATTTTCAAACACTGAAAAAAATAGTTTTCTACTAAACGGAGCCAAAAACCGGGTTTTTAGCTCTCCGGTCAGTAGAAATCTCTTTTTTTCAATGTTCAAACATAAAAAATTTTCAAAATAAACATTGCACCGTAAGACCCCTTGATCACTTGACGTGGAATCGCTCATATATGGAAATATAATTACAAAAAGCTCAAGTTTAAATTAACTCTTTGCTTGTTAACGAGCCAACGTTGGATCGTGAAAAAGATGGCTCAAACTGTGAACTTCATAGCGCAAAATAAGTGCAATTTCTTAAGTAAATTATAAAACAAATTCTTTTACATCATTACTCACACAGTATAGCTTTTAATGATACTAGATTAAGTAATATATAAATAATGATTTATTATTTTTAAGTAATATAGCAATTTAAAAACAACTTCATGAATTTTTTTTAATTTAACTCACATTTAGTGTATTTGGACATAATTTTAAAAATTCATTTGAATTTTTAACAATTTCAGTATCGAGGAGTATTTGTGGTCTCTGAATTCAAATTTGACATTCATTTCTAGAAATCCAAAATGGCAGACGTGTTTTTTTAAGTCAGAATTAGAATCAGCTATTGCAAAATCCTTTATATACTAGTTCTTATAAATATCTAGTTAAAATTGAAAAATTTTGTCCGCCATATTAGATCCGCCATTTTGAATTTTTTTGACGTCGTATTTGAATTCAACGACCTCAAAATCAAAGTATGTAATTTTCATAAATTTAATTACATTCACATACGCATGGAATTACCCTGGTCACAATTGACAGAATTCAACACAAGTGTGCTGTGCAACATAAGAGGTATCCTTATTTATGTACCTTGTTGTATAATCTACTATTAAATGCGCATAGACTTACCCGGGTAACAATTTATATCATTTTCTTAGAAATATGACTTTTCTAATCTACGTGGAAATACACGAGGATTATCCTATATTGAAATAAAATTATAAAAACCTCAAGTTTATATAAAACATTTAGTGACAAGTGTATCAAAGTATGTAATTTTCATAATTTTAACTACATTAAATACGCATTGAATTACTCTAGTAACAATTTATAGAATTTTTGCAAAAATATGACTTTTCTAATCTACGTGGAAATACACGAGGATTTCTATATTGAAACAAAATTACAAAAAGCTCAAGTTAAACTGTTTTAGGCGTTTACCCGGTGTTAACACCGAGTTCACGAAGGCCCAATTATTAATATGATTTATTAAAAGTCTGTTGAGACCGTCCAATCAGAATTAACTCGGTGTTACCACCGGGTAAAGGCCGAAAACAACCTTAGTTGTGCTTAGGCCTTAATAGGAGAAAACTAACAAGTTGAAAATTAACTTATAGGAGATTTTACTGTGCCTTTAAAAACGCATAAAATAACCATGACAACAATATGTATAGAATTTAAAAAAAATATAATTTCTCTGATGTACTTGGAAATACACGAGGATACCAATATTGAAATTTAATTTTCTTTATGCAAATTAGACGTATTATGGTCACTTTATCTACCTGTACATACGTATACTAAGTTCCTCTTTATAACCCAGCGGTCAGTAAAGTAACCATTATTTCCATACGGCAATAAAGTGTACTTTTTTGGCTGTTGCGCATAGGTCAATGATGTTCTCATTATTACTAGAGGTGTTAAAGAAGCACGAAGCTCGATCAAGCATTTAATTTTTCGAATCAAGCCGGACCTAATCACTTCGAGTTTGAGCCGAGCTGTGTAAAAAGCTCAAATAATTTCAAGTTCTACAGAAAATTCATACTATCTTTGTATATATTATAATAAGCAAATTGAAATACACTTTTAAATTAAACATTTATTTACTTTATTGATTCTGTAATTCGCACAAATTCGAAATTTTCTACTTAGTAATAGTTTTTTTAATAATTTAAAAGCTCGAATATATTTAAGTACTCGATACATCGAGTAAGCTCGAGCGAAGAATCTTATATTGAAACAAAATTACAAAACTCTCAAGTTTAAATTAAACATTTAGTAACACGTGCATCAGAGTATGTAATTTTCATAAATTAAATTACTTTTAAAAACGCATAGAATTACCCTAGCAAAAATTTATAGAATTTAAAGAAATATAATTTCTCCGATATACTTGGAATGATACACGTGGAATCATATATTGAAAAATTCCATTATCCAAATCAGACGTATTAAGGTCACTTACCTACCTATACAGGCGCATACAAATAACTTTCCCGTAATAACCCATGGGTTATTATAATAATTATAACTTTGATATGAAAAAAATTTATAAAAAAACGATTTTGAAAAAAAGTTCAAAAAAGTTTTTATTTTTAATTAATGGCTGATAAAAAAGGATTTACCGATTTTCAGATTCGCTGAACACATTGTACACATAATTCATTTAAAAAATTGAGAGAAATAATGTCTAACCAATTGCTAGCCCATAGCAGGTACGAGGGCTAGATAATGTATAATACAATACTCCAGCCCATCGCAGCCCGTTTAACTTACAGCAAGTCAAGAAGACTAGAGACAGGAGGACTGACTGCAGTAGTGGGGGTAGGACAAAAATAGGGGGTTATGAAGGTATGGTTAAATTGCGCCAAATATCGTGTTTTGATTCTGCACTTACGCGTTCCACGTATTTAAATATATAACGTAAGCGTGTGTGAGATGTGCAGAATCACAAAGGTCTATTTGGCGCAATTTATTTCCGCCTTCACAACCGCACTAATACTGACTCACTGCTGTGCATGATAATACAGCCATGTTAACCCTCCTGTCTCTAGTCTTCTTGCTTCTTGCAATGATGTACTTATTATTACCCTAGGGCAATAATGGTCCATAATACGCCATTACTTACTTGAAGCATATAGTACGCTACATAAGAGGTAACCTTATTTTTGTGCCTTGTTGTATAATCTACTATTAAATGCGCATAGACTTACCCGGGTAACAATTTATATCATTTTCTTAGAAATATGACTTTTCTAATCTACGTGGAAATACACGAGGATTATCCTATATTGAAATAAAATTATAAAAACCTCAAGTTTATATTAAACACTTAGTGACACGTGCATCAAAAGTATGTAATTTTCATAAATTTAATTACATTTAAATACGCATGGAATTACCCGGGTAACAATTTACATCATTTTCTTAGAAATACGACTTTTCCAATCTACGTGGAAATATACGAGGATTCCTATGTTGAAACAAAATTACAAAAAGCTTAGGTTTAAATTAGACATAATTAATAACATGTGCATCAGAGAATGTTATTTTCATATATTAAATTACCTTTAAAAACGTATAGAATAAGCCTGACAACAATGTGTAGAATTTAAAAAAAGATCATTTTTACGATGTACTTGGAAATACACGAGGATTCCTGTAGCAAAATTTAATTCCCTTATGCAACTTTAGACGTATTATGGTCAGATTATCTATCTCAGCGGTCAATAAAGTAACCATTGTTTCCCTACGATTTCTATATTGAAATAGAATTACATTTAAGTACACATAGAATTATCTTTATTATACAATATTTAAATTTGTCTAATTTAAAGTGACATGATGATTGAATCTGAGTAATAAGTTTTTTAACAGCATCCGGATCTTCAGGATATCTTACGAACCATCCAAAAATATTGGGAAATTATGATATTCGTAGGATATCCTAGAGATGTCCTATTAAATCCTGATTTCTGGATATGAATATTATTTTCGAAGGGTATTCCATATAATATTCATTGCCGTTAGCTGCGTAAAGATAGAAGGAATGCGACTTACAATATGTTTTTAAGCACAATAGAGCCGAGTACGTAAAACAAATGCAGAATATTGGCTATATCCTGAATCTGTCTTATGTGCCTGGTTTATACAGTCTATAATTGCTTCCTGATATTGCAGAGTTGTGGATATTAGAATATTAACTTCAAATAAATTAAAATGCTTATCACACCGAAATGCTTTCTAATACAATAAAATCTTCTCTTATAATTTATTTACCTCACTGGACATATACTTTCGAGTGCTTTGTAACCAAGTTATTGTCTCTTTTTGAAAATCTTCAATGACAGTGAGAGAAAATTACGTTTTAGACATTGGTAAGTAAATAAAAGTATGCTTACCTTTTTTAAATTTTCTTATCTATTTTATACAGTTTTTACTATATGCTATACACATTAAAAAAATGAAAAAATAGGGTATTTGAAGAAAAACCAACATAACACAACTAGAAGTAAATCATACGTTCTCAATTCTTATCGATTTCCTACTGGAATTTTTAAAAAATTTGATAAAAAATTAGTTCTTAATTTGCACGAATATTGTATAAAATGTGTAAGGAAAACTGCAGTTCAATTTTCAAAAAAATATTACAGCAAAAATTACGTGCGGGAGTTTTTAAAAACTTACTTAAAATTTGTTAGGAAGTTGCACGATCATTGTACAAAATTCGTTTGAGAAAGAGGTCCAGTTTAAAACAAAATTTACAGCAAAAATTAAGTGCGGATTTCTTTTTAAAAATCATGCAAAATTCGTACCTAAATTTTATTTAAAAAAGTCGTAAGAATCGTTTTCAACTGGGTTTACACTAATTATAGTGAAAAATCCGGAAAAATCAAATGATTATAAGTAAAAATAAAGATATATTAATTTTACAACAATATTATATAATAGAATAAAATTATTTAACAAAATAATTAGGTGTAATTAAAATGCATAGTATTTATTAAGTTTACAATTCTCATATTCTTATGACTTATAATATAATTACCAAAACAATGCAAAACATCAAGGTAACAAGGTAACATACATTAATTGAAATTTCTAATAAATTATGAAGTAGTATAAACAGTAACAAATTAATGTTCTTTGTCAGATAGAGGAAAATAATTTGCCAATTAAGAGGCATGGGACGACGCCTATTATAAACACATAATTTATTTGATTTGCTTTTAATAATTTTTTTTAATTTGCAATAATTATTGACGTAATAAAGTGTTATTTATAGTTTATATTCAATATTTGAATAACAGAAAAAATATAACATTTTAATTATAGGAATTGACGTTATTAATGTAATTAAATTTCCGCCTATTAGTAGTAATATAAGTTTGGCACGGGACAAATATAATCCACCTTTCTAATTTTAAAAAAGACACAAATGTTTTCTAATTCGTCAACTTCTGCGACCATGAGAGTATTACTTATTTCTTTTACTTTTTGCAGATACGAATATTGATCTTGAATGAAATTTTCGGTACAAATAACTTTGTAAATTACGTGCTCTGTTTCAAGATTTTCATCAACAATAAAATTCTGAATTTTAATAAAAGTACCACTTTTTAGTTGCGCAAAACTATTATTTGTACGAACATTTGCATCACCTGACGTTGAAAAAATACATTTTCCTTTAACCATTCTCTTGTAATATACAGCATTTAAAGTCAATCCGAGTCGGTTAATCCAATCTTTATGCACTGGACGAGGAATACCAAAATATCTAGCAACAGATATTTTACATGTATGTTTTGTACTTGCCTTTTTTAAAGACAAGTAATAATCTTTTACCTTATCAGTACAAATAGGAAGAATGGTTTTGCTTAAAATTCTGTCACAATGTTCGTTGGAAATATTTCTACAAATTTGGTTTGATGCTCCTTTAGAAGCATTAATAGAACGAACTAATTTCCCATTACCTGTTTCAAACACGAAACAATTATGAGCCCACGATGGACCCCAATTCGACAGAGATTCAATCCAGTGCCAGAGCTGATGGACATTGTAAGTTAAGCTTCTTTTTGTATAATACTTTTCTGCATAAATTATAAACTTTTTAACTAAATACTCCATACGAAGCAAATGATTATGAGAAATGCATGGTAATAATCCTATGTAAAATGATTCGACAAATAAAGCCCAATGTTTTACCAGTTTCTCCTCGAAAAATAGTTGCATTACTGGTAAACTATAATACAAAATATAATTTTCCCACTCCTTGGCTTTCCACTTATGCCTGTCGGTAATTGAACGCGTTAAGCGCATAGCTTGGTGTGGGGCTGAAATATTATTTAAAATTTTGTCGATTTCTTTTGCATTTAGAGAAGTTAAATTTTCTTTCAGTGGGGATTTTTTGTCAAAGAGATAATTTGTAAATTGTGATGCTATCCCTAATCTTGCAAAGTGCATGTCATCTGGAATCATGGAGGAAACAATATCAAACCTATTGAGACTAGTTAAGGGTGACTCATGCAAAACTCCGTAAGTACAATTATCCTTCTTTTGGCTATTAGCAATAACCCCTTCAGTATTCTCAGCTTCTTCATCTTCTTCTACATTTACAGAGTCACTTTCAAGAGTATGATTTACAGCAGTAGAATACTGAATGGATAAAGTATCATTAGGATTACGTTTATCTCTAAGAAGATTTAAACACTTTTCGAAATGTTCTTTTGTTCGGTTTTTCGGTAAAGGATGTAAGAATGGGTATTTGACTGAACCACCAGTGTTTTCAGCATTTGGAGTCCATTCACCCTTTTGAATACACCAGTTGCATCCGTATGGAGTATTGAACTGACCTACACCTTGTAAAGGAGGACGAGCAATGGAATCTACAACACAACCGATTACGTATGGTTTGATGATGATAGTCTCTCCTCGAATTAAGCACGGAATTCCTAATCTAGAATACTCATTCATTTCGTCTACGAAGGAACGTAAGAAAACATTCATATCCGGTTTTCCTTTACCGAACCATAATCCGCAAACAATTGTTTTTGAAGTCCTAATATCTAGGGGTGACTCATTTACAATAAGATGAAGTGGATAAACTGAATTCTGTGAGTGAAACCTATTGAATGCATTTGCCCCATCTGTATTAAACAGTAACGACACGTATCGGTTTCTATCCTCAATATCTAAACTTTCAACAAAACATTTATATTTTTCCCCATCATAAATATCGCTATACTTTCCAGGTTCATGGACTCTTTCGTTTACAACATAATGATAATATTCATCATTATCTTCAATTATTGCTTTTATATCGTTGGCAACATTAAATGTAGAGTAAAAATCTTTAAATTGCATTTCGTTCAAATTGAATTGTTTTTTACAAAGTAAACAAGTTTTATGTTTATCTTGTCGAACAAATGTTCCAACGTATGCTCCACAATACGGGCACAGGGCATGGTATTTTACTAAAGACGATGAAAAAAACAATTTGTCTATAAGGTATCGAGTGTCAGGTAAGAACGATCGCACAAACATACAATTAATTAATGAAAATAAATTTGTTACTGCACTATGTGATAAGTTATGAAACAGTGCGTATTTCAATACCATCATGAGAATTTCACCTTTACTTACTGATATAGGTATATCAATAATATTATGCATTTCTTCAGAATTCAACATTTCTTCTAATATACTACTAGCTGTTCCATTTTCCTGATTATCTTCGTCGAAAGGAAATTCATTTTCGTAAAATTCTTCGTCACTCTCGTAAAATTCTTCGTCATTTTCGTAAAATTCTTCGCCATTTTCGTTATTGACATGTATTTCGTTATCGTGACAATAAGAATCAGGTTCATCAGATTCAGAAGCATAAACAGTGCTTCTAATTTCACCATCAGCTATCTAAATAATATGTTTAAGTGTACAATATGCAACAACAATAAAATAGAAATGAGTAAAATCTAAAATTTTCGTCTAAAACTAGAATTTTTTTATATCCGATAATCTCGAAAATGATATTCAAAATATAGATATTTAATATGTAAAGGTTGCAGCAAATGGCAATATGATTCACTGTCTCGTTTGAATTTCTGACTCATTTTAAACCTCACAATCAGAGTTGTAATTGCATTTGTTAGTTTTATTTTTAAACTTATAAAACATAAAAATGAAAAATATTTCTTTCTCCATAAAAATATTTAGGTATTTTGTTTGATTTTGCATTTTTTTGAAGCCTTGTCGTTTCACTGGAGACACAACGCATGTGCGTTACCACACAGCCACGGTGACTAGATAGTAACTAATCATACACGGAAAAAAAAGTACGTGAATCCTTCCTTGAAAATGCTTGACTCTTGGATAGGACACAAAATACAAGGCTGTATCATATACTTTTTATTAGAAAATATAGAAAAGTCCTAGAGTTATTCTAGTACTAGTATGGGCAACAGTGTTTTTTAAATTTTAACGAAAAGTCATTTATTCAGTTTTATAAAGTACGTAAAAGATTAGTTGACTGCGCGTGAAAATTCTGTAGAGCATGCGCAGTGTGCGTTGCGCGTTTCTACCCAAGGTAAATGCCAGCTGATCGTCTGTTTCCATTTGTGTTAATTTCAGATGTGAATATACTATTATTTTATGAAAAACAAATAGTGTTAATATATATTTGTCTTCAAGAATTGACTTTCAAAAAAATATTTTTTATTTTGTGTTTCTCACAAAACAGAATGTTATGTAAGTCTCAGTTTTCAGTGAAATAGCATGTCTCAGAAGTCGTGAAAAATTTCACCATGTGGTATATAAGGACAATTCGATATGTACTTTTAAGTGTTAAGTGTGTGTTTATATTTAAGTTATACGCGAATAATATATAATATAATATAATATATAATATATAATAATGTGTTATAGGTTAGTTCATAAGTGTTGACGAACGTCGAAAAGTGATACAATAATTGTTCTTTGTTTTGTGATTAATTATCCAAATATGTGAATGAATGAGTGAATCTCAGAAAAACTGTGTGAACAAGTGGAAATTATTTTTTTTATTTTATTTTATTATTTTATTTTCATTGACTGCTTTTGAAACTCTCATTCAAAAGTACTAGACAGTTTTTAGTATTTTGTGTCGTATCCAAAAGTCAAGTTCCGAGTCAATGAAAATTTCACGTACTTTTTTTTCCGTGTAACTGCAAGTTTAACTTGACGGCTTATCTTGTTAAAATTTAGAAAAATGTAAACTTTGGTGATGTGACAGTGAAACGATCATAACTTTTATAATTATAAAGTTACTTTAAACTTTTCTGTATTTGACCGTATGGAACATAAAAATTATTTTTAATATCTAATCATAAATGATTGACTAAGAGTGTTTTATTATGGGACTGGTGATTTGTTTTTTCATTACTAACTGGTCAGTTTCTGTGACAAGTTTTTCTGATCAGTGGTGGACCAGTTTTTCTAGGTGTAATCTTAAATAATTCTTCAAATCATTGACCGGCCAGTGTCTGGAAAGAAATTCTTATCACGATTATGATCAGATTTTCTGGTCAGGGACTTGACAAAAGTATTGTTCACAAAGGGGAACTGTTTCATTCAGTGAAACTGTCCAGTCACTTAATTAGTGTTTTGGTAATATTATCGCTTTCATACGAGCGTTTTTTTTTCAAAAAAGAGTGAAAAAGGCACAAAAAATACTTTTAAATTACAATTGGGTAAGGCTTTCTGAAGTGTACTCATGATTATCGAAGGGTATTTTAATTTTATTCAAACACTATATTTCAAAAGTAAATAATGATAAAAACAGCACCTGAAAATAGTTTTTTTTTAAATTGTTTTTTAAAAAGTTATTAACAATTTAATTTTTTAACACCTTTTTCGAAAAAAATGAATTACTCGAAAACTAATCGACAGAATTCGATAAAAGTTTAACCACTTATTTAAAAAATCTTTCTTTTTAAAACTTCAATTCTAGTTTTAAATTATCATGTAATTTCTTTAAATAATAGAAAATTTTTATAAACAAATGAAAATTTAAGCATGTTCTTAAAGAGATAATTAAATTTTCTTTACAGCATTTTATTCTACGTAAAATGTGGAACTACAGTAGGATCTTTCAATAGTGCAGTCGTCGGGAATATTGTGCACTGTTCGAAGCAAGCAAAAACTAAAACATTCAGGTCCGTGTCAAGAAAATTAAGGGTCCCCCACTACTAAATACCGGGCACCACTAAATTATACTAAATAATCAAATGAGCGACGGCACTGTATTTGACGTCATAGATTCCCTTTTCCTTTGCCCCCCGAAACCCCTTGTCTACTCAACTCACTAATGACTGCACTGTTCAGAACTGCACTATTGAAAGATACTACTGTATTACAAAAAAAAAATTTTAAAGCCTGCATTTTATTTACAAAATAAAGCTATTTTTGAGTGCCATATTATTCGCCGCATATTGGATCCGCCATTTTGAATTTAATTTGAATTAAAATTTTCGAAATTATGTATCAAATGCTTTATAAATGTCTTTGTAACAGCGCGTAACAAAAATAGCTGTAACTTGTAAATAAAATGCGGACCCTAACATTTTTTTTGTAAAACTTTTAAATTCTATATAAAATGCTATAAAGAAAATTTAATTATCTCATTAAGAACAGGCTTCAAAAACCATTGGTACACTTCAGAAAGCCTTACCAAATTACAATTAAATTACAACTTAAAACTTCTTTCATGTACATTTTAACTGCTCCAATTTCCTCAAGCTGATCGTACACGATCATATGTACTTTTAAGTACATAATCATGTACTTGAACTTGCAGGACTCTCACTCAGTTCATATTATTTATTAACAAATAAATTTTAAAACTCCGTAACTTCAAAAATTATTTTATCAAATTCAATTCTATTTCATATTTACATTTCTATTAATAATAGTAACATTTTGTGAAAGTTTCGAGAAAATTCATTTTTTGACCTGGGCAGTTGAGGAGTTTTGTCCCATATTATTATATTGTTCTATATGTCACGCTTCACAGTGAAAGGTATCTAACGCGTTTTTACTTGATTAAAAGTTTCAATTTTCAGGTAATTACCTGAAGTGAAAAACATTTTTCATTAAACATTTAATACATAAATTAGTTATACTACCGGTCAAAATTGAGAGACCACCCATTTTCAGCTGATTGAAAAATATTTTAAAACAAAAATTGTATGGAAACTAAATTTTTTTTTATTTTGTAAAAAATGTTAAAATTTTGAAAAGAAACAGATCTTTTAGAAGCCATTTGGCCAATATTTAATTTAGATATTTTTAAATTATCGTCATTTTCAATGTTTTACAAAAATTTGAATAACTTTTAAAATAGTGAACGCTTTTTAATGATCTTAGGCTTGTTTTAAAGGTCATTTGTTACACTAAAAGAATTACTTATAGGCAATAACGTGTAATTTTTTTCTTAAAAAATGCAGGCCGTCAAACTTGGACCAAAAGTTTGGTGAGTGGTTCCTCCTTAAGTCATGGGTTAATGGTATAGGCAATCTGTATTTGTGAAGATTTTGTACCCTGGAAGTGCGTGTCTGGATATTACCATATCATCTATGCTGCTCCCTATTTGTCTATTTGGTCAGAGGCAATATGTGTCGGTTAAATGGAAAAGGTCGGGTAAATGGAGCGAAGACTTAAGAATAAGATTGTCAGCAAAAATAAGTAAATCGACTGTTAGAAAGATTTATTGAATGGGCCCAAACGGCTTCGTATCGTGCGTCTTCCGTCGTTGGCAATGAATTTAGGAGACAAGCCAAATAATCCGTAGGACTATATTGGTTGTCTAGATTGGCTCAAGAACCCACCCAGTTCAATGACCGTTTCATTATCGGGAGGCAAGATCATTTCATCGATTGAGATCGTTCTGGGATCAGCATTTGGGTATTTTCTTTGCAAGTAGTTGCAAAATTTGTTTCTTTTAGGTTGTAATAAGGGGCAGTCATGAATAATATGTTCCAAGGTTCTCCTCACCGCAGCCGCAGCCTACCGTCGCGTTCCAATTGAGTCTTGAAAAAAGTTCATAAGTGGAAGTATGACCGGTGCGCAGTCTGGTTATTGTATTTATCCAGGCCCCCCTGAAGAAATGACATAAACATTAATAAAAAATAATACATTTAATGTATAGGGCTAAATTTTTGTTAAATTTAGTGCCTAGAAAAACATTTTTCGAAAATTTAACATTAGCACTCTTGCTCCCCATAAATATATACCTATCAGAATATGCGAACCGGGGCCGGGCCCCCCCTAGCCAAAAGTTCTAGCTACGCCTATGTATGAGATGTTCCTGAACTAAGGCCTGACCGTTTTGAACGTCATCCTGGCAAAATATCTGTGGTTGGACATATCCCTGTCTGTAAATGGCCAGGGATAGGCCAAATTTGTCAGTTATAACTAAATAATTATTACAATAATTAATTGCATTATTTTAGAAAATAATTATTAATTAATAAATGAATTTAATCAATATATTAAGTAATTATTTATTAAGACTTTTTTCAAAATTAAACAATTAAAAAAATTTGTTGTGTACTTATACTTTATAATTATTATAAATAAATTTATATTATTAATATAAATTTATTATTATTGAGAATTAATAATAAATTATTAATATTCATGTTAATAATTTATTATTAATTCTCAATTTTTAATATATTATATAATAATAAAAATATTGCTGTATCATTGACGCGTAGTAATTCTACAAGTTTTATTTCAGCTTGTGACACTTGAGAGTATTTAAGATTTGAGAGTCCCATGCGACCGTTGCATAGTGGTTACAGTGTGCGAGATTTCGGTACCCCCAAGCTTTAGGATTTTTCAAATGTCTATGTAATAAAAAATTGCGTATTTAATCT